TTTATGGGAAAACAAAAAAAACCCATGCCATTCCTTTCTAAAGACAACCCCTTTCTTTGGGTACCAGCTCCTTTCTTTGGGTACCAGCTCCATGACATTTGGATTTACTTCTATGATGAGAAACAGTGACCTTGTTCTTTTCCTTTCTTTCTTCATCTGTATGGAAACTATTTCACAGGTGGAGATCTTTTTTTAATTAAAAATCCTTATTCAATGGGAGGTAAGAAATCAGAAACAACAGCAAAACATAAATGCAAATAAGTATGTGGGAAAAGTTAAATAATGTTTAATTGGTGGATGGAACTGCTTGCAACAGTATCTCTTAGAAGCTCTTCTAATACTATTAGCCAGATAAATTCATGCTTTCAGAAATTTAAACTAGGATGAAGATGCTTCCTTGAAACATGTCTGAACTCTCCTCATGACTCTCTAGAAGAAAGGAAACCTGTCTGTGAAGAACTTCAACATAATTGTGCAGCATTTGTGAATGCTTAATTGTGAAAGCTTACTTCTTTACCTGTGTTCTTGCCATGAACAGTATTAAATAACCCAAAAGTGTTATCTTTCTGGAGATGCTTAATATTTGTAATAACCAAATTACTATGATACTGAGATCATCAATATTTTACAATATATTACAGAAATGTAAAAGGAATTATTTTAAAATAATACTTTTTGCTAACAACTTAGGATGAACATAAAGCTGAATATTTATACTTTCAGAGTTTCTAAAATGCAGAAATTGGTAGCAGACCTTTATGAGTATATTTACAACTGCAGAGGTTATTTGAAATAACGATCATATTTTCATTTAGGTGTACACCATAGTTTACAGCTTATACAAGGCTTCTCATTTCAGAATTGTGAAAATCTTCTCCTTTCTTTTCTGTCCTGTTCTGCCATCTGGATTGCACTGTGATTTTATTGTCAGCTTTCACTGGAGTGGTTAACAGCAAACCTTGCTGAACATATACAGAATTAAATATCAAACTTCATGTGGTTATTAGTGAGGCATATTTCATACCAATATCTCACTTCAATAGTGCGAAATGCAATAGAAATTTCAATAGAAATGCAATTTTGGTTTCAGTAGAAAGAAATGCACTTAACTTAATAGAATTGCATCAATATTGTGGAGGTGTGAGATCAGATTTTGTAGACTGAATGGAGTTACCATAAATATGGATTTAATCCACACACTCTTCAACTTTCAGGTACTTGCAAGAGATATCTAGGAAAAGACTGATTTGTATATGCATAAATTAATGTGTACGAATACAAAAAATCAGAATCCTTTGGCCTGAAAAAGACCTTCAAACATCAAAAATACAACTGTAAATCAAGTACTGCCACAATAATCTCTAAACCATATCCCCACATGCCACATCCATAGACCTTTTGAATATTTCCAGCGATGGCATCTCCACCACTTTCCCTGGGTTGTCCATTCCAATGCCTGATGACCATTGCTGTGAAATTCATTTCCCTAATATCCAATCTAAACCTCCTCTGTTGTAAATTCATGCCATTTCCTCTTGTCCTGTCACTTGTAGCCTGGGAGAGGATACCAATCCCAGTTTGGCTGCACCCTCCTGTCAGGCAGCTGCAGAGAGTGATGAGGGCCCCCTGAGCCTCCTTCTCTCCAGGCTGAACACCCCCAGCTCCCTCAGCTGCCCCTCACAGCACTTGTGCTCCAGAGCCTTCCCCAGCTCCGTTGCCCTTCCCTGGACACGCTCCAGCCCCTCAATGTCTCTCTGGCACTGAGGGGCTCAGAACTGAGCACAGGATTGGAGCTGTGGCCTCAGCAGTGCTGGGTACAGGGGGACGGTCCCTGCCCTGCTCCTGCTGGCCACACCTGGCTGATCCAGGCCAGGATGCCATCGGCCTTCTGGGCCACCTGGGCCCACTCTGGATCATGTTCAGCTGCTGTCAACCAGCACCCCCAGGTCCTTTTCCACCAGGCAGCTTTCCAGCTCCTGTCCCCAGCCTGCAGCAGTGCCTGGGGCTGTTGTGACCCAAGAGCAGGATGCAGGGCCAATGGTATGAGGCCTTGCTGAGCCTCATACCATTGGCATCAACGCAGCAATGATGGGAAGAAGCAAGAATGGAGCCAGAGACTACTTTTAAAGAACAAAAGGTTCTGAACTCAAATTTTAAGATATGAAAACCTATTTAAACACTGAAAACTAGATTTTGGGCTTTTGTTTGTTTGTTTTTGTTCAGAGAGTGGTTCCAGAGAGATTGAGCAGCCTCCATGCTTGGAGATATTAAAAACCTTACTTGACATGGTCATGAGCAACTTTCTATTGATGGCCCTGCCTTGAAGAAGGACATTTAAGTTCCTGAGGTGGCCTCCCACTTAATCTATTCAGCGATTCTGTGAGCTTCAGTTATGATGAAATACTGACTTCTTATTTGCTTGACCTTGATAGTTGTAGATTATTAATTGGTGAATTAAGAAAACACAGCATTTAAATTTCATTTATCACCTGTCCCTGTTGTCAAAATTAGTATTCAGCAACACTGCCTCTCTTAGCTCAATTTTGGGCCAGAGTTTGGTATGGGTAGAAGGCTGGATAGGAGTGAAAGTATTAGTGATTAATTTATACCATTTACATGGTGTGATCTGAAAATGCTATGAAAGATAGGCAGAGATTACATCAAATTGCTCTTACCTGCCTCAGGGCTGTTCTAACTTAGGATAAAAAAATAAAACCTAAGCTGTAAGCTGAAACAGATAGGTATCTGAAATAAATTATGATATAATCTACTGCTCTCTTTGCTGCAAGGTTACCTCAGTGCCTATAAACATTCCTCAGAGATCCACTCTGTCTGTGTTTAAAAGCCACCAAACATTTCTAATTTAAGGATTTGTTAAAGCTGTTCCTTACTCCTCACATCCTCCAAGAACAAGCCTTTAATCTTGTCAGAAGTTTATGACTAAAAAAAATTCTTAACTGAAATTTTTAAAAGATTTCTCTTTAAGGTGAGGTACTTTAGCCCAGAGAGCTGCTAACAGTCAGGGAATTTGGCCTTCAATTCAAAAACAAAAGGCAAACTGTTATAAAACCTTTTTTGTTTTTCCTGTAACCAAACCACCACCAACAAAAAAGCCTATTAAATCAAGTATTAAAACTGTAACTGGAAAAATGTTATGCATCTAAATTTTCTCAGCACTATCAGATCAGTTTGATACCTGCAGCCTGCATAATTAGCATCAATAAAGCATCAAATGCTATTTTGTACTTATGTGGTTATTTAAATATATGGGATACTGGGCCAAATAGGATCTGAGAATGAAATGATATTTCGATAACAGAACCAGTACAGGATACAGGATCCTAATCAGCTTCTATTAAAAACAGAACAGACCCTTCATTTCTTTTTTATACATATCTACTGGCATCAAATCCAGCCTGGATGAATAAGGGACACACAGATCACGTTCCACACACCCACAGAAGATCAAAACACTCTTGAAAGTCACACAGTGATACTTAGATGAGGTTTTTCCCCGACAATGGTGGTGCTTGCTTGAAATTTCTGACGTGCCAAAAGGGAGCAAAGTAAAGGGGTTCACTTCTTGCTGAATGGGTGCTCAGGGCTTTATTACAGATTCCTTTGAAGTGCTGAGCCCAGAAACAAAGAAAGCCAACCTGTCTTGGAAACTGTACACCAGTACTGTGTCTACAGAATAACCTGCAGGTGCCTGAGGTTATTCTCCTCCTCCAAGGATAACAGCCACAGGACAGCCCACATTCCCGCCATTTACCTCTTACTCTCCAAGTCAAGGTGGGCACATAAATGACAGGTGGCCTCTGCCAGATCCTGGTTCATGCCCAACAATGACCAGGCTGACAATTTAGCAATATAATGACAGTATTTCAGGGCCTGGGAACACTTCTTGACAGTTTTCCCTAATATGGATGTAGTCTATATACCCCTTTTAAGAGCAAAGCCTCATAATTTGATAACAAGTTACAAGCACTGAACTACAGTTCTCTCTTGCTCCTTATAACATGCTTAAGGTATGGGGGGATTGAATCTGAGATGTAAATAAATGGTAGATTGCACACAATTGGAATTGTGATTTGGGAATTATAATTTTAAAGTTACAAATAAGAATGCACATGATTACATAACTTGAAAATAGATGACAACATGAGAAATCAAATAAAATTCTTAACTCCAGATCTGGTGTGAAAACTACAGTGACTGTCATCCTAAAGAATCCTAACAGACCTCCTACATTTATACTGCACATGAAGCGCAATTTCGTCAGGCCCTTCAGTGCATGGTTACCTCAGAGCACAACTGTGACTTCTCAATAGTGTTTCTTTGTCATTATGGCTTTGTATTGCCAGCTAAACACCCCTTTGCTTTACCATTTGGTGGATGATTTGAACTAACAGAAGGAAACAAGAAACATAACCCAGAAATGTGTGCTTTGCTCAATTACAGAAAAAGATGTTACACCATAATAATGTTCCCTGCCAACATAATGAAAAACAGGGAAATGTTCACATCCTAAAAAAACCAGCTGCACATACAGGTGTCTGCACCAGATGCTTCCCTAAGCACAATGTGATAAAAGTGATTATTCCTCACTCAACAGAGAACAGTCCCTAAGCAGGGTATTTAAAGAAGGATGATAACACAGGTAATTAGGAGCCCCACGCTTTACACACAAAGCAATGATTAAGAGGGTAAAGCTTAGAATCATATGTCTTTACATGTGGACTTGTGTTTTTATTTGTGAATTTATCGTAAAAATGGGAAGTTTTCAGTCTGATTTCTCAAGTGAGATCCTAACTGGAAACTGATTAAGGATTGAACAACCTATCCCTGGTTTTAATAGGTGGTACCTTGCCCTGTGACTCCAACAGGAACATGAGCGCCAGAATGTAACACCTGACTGATGGACTTTCCCATGAGGAGCGACGGAATATCCTTTCCTTTTCCCAAAGTATGTGTAAGTATGTCCCAAAGTATTTTCCTACCTTTGGACTTCCTGTCATGGTAGCTCCTGCCTCGATAATGGTGCCCACTGTCTGTGTAGAGATTCTCAAGGTCTTCTTGCCAGGAGTCCGGGTTGAAGTGTTTGAGCAGATCCTCCACCGTGTCAAAGGCGGCGATGGTCTGATCTAGCGCTTCCGCAGTGAGCGTAGGGTCAGTCACTGATGGAGAGGGATAGGATACCCCCTAAGAGTGACATACATCTCAGTGTACTTGGAATAAATCACAGCACCACTTTAAACTACTGAAAACAGTTACTGACAAGCTTGTTTCATTACTGAGAGAAACAGTTACTTCGGGCCATCTTTTCAAGTCTTTGGGCCAGGACTTTCTTACACCTGTGTTTTCTTTTTCTAAGAAGAGATACCAAGAAATTTCCAAGTAAATCCCAGAGAGATGCTGGGAGCAAAAGTACTGCCACTGGTGGACTTTCACTATTCAGATGCAGTCTTCAAAGGGAATGATGGTTTGCATGTATGCAAAGATGCAATGAAAATGTCTTTTGAAAGCACTGTGATGGCCGTGGCCACAGAAATGGAAATGACAGTTGCTATTTCACATGAGGCAGATCAGAGACCACAGCAGAGAAAGACAAATGCAAAGAAGTCCACTAGACAATCTTTTTCTGGTCAATTTGGACAACAATTTTGGCATGGCTAGAGACTTGGAAAAATGGCCCTTTTTTACCCAAAATTAAATGCATTAAAAAACAAAGATGAATTGACATTGAACTGACATTTTACCAAAAATACAACTTACTAAACAAACAGAAAAAAACCATGATATTTGGATCTTGGAGATGTTCGTGGGTGAGAAGCTGGACATGACCTGGCAATATGCTTGCAGCCCGGAAAGCCAATGGTGTCCTGGGCTGCATCCAAAGCAGCTTGGGCAGCAGGGCCAGGGAGGGGATTCTGCCCCTCTGCTCTGCTCTGCTGAGATCCCACCAGCACTGGGGTGTCAGCACAGGGAGACCATGGACCTGTTGGAGTGAGTCCAGAGGAGGGAACACCAAGGTGATTAGTGGGATGAAGGAAAGACTACGAGAATTGGAATTGTTCAGCCTAGAGAAGAAAAGGCATCAGGGTGACCTAACTCTGTCTTTCCAATGCCTGAAGGGAGCCTACAAGAAAGATGAAGACAAACTTTTTACAAGAGGAGGTAGTGATAAGACAAGGTGGAATTGCTTTAAAATGAAAGAGGGCAGGTCTGGATTAGATTTGAGGAAAAAATTCTTTACAATGAGGGTGATGAGACACTGGAACAGCTCTGAAAGAGTCTGTGGATGCCCCATCCCTGACAGTGTTCACAGTCAGGTTGGAGAGGGCTGTGAGCAGCCTGGTCCACTGAAAGGCATTCCTGCCCACTGCAAGGGCATTGAAACTAGGTGATCTCTAAGGAACCTTCCAACCCTAAACATTCTATAATTCTACGATCTCAGCGATATAACAATGAATATTTGGATGAGTAACATAGTAGTATCCTCACAATTATAACACCAAATGGAATACTTATTTTCCACCAGTAAGGACCAAGTACTGTTTTCTGAGTGTCCCCACTGAACTTTGGCACAAGTTGACTTTGACAGAATGATTGCAGCATTTTCAGTTTTATTGGAGAGGACTTGAAACATTCTTAGAATTCTTAATTTAGTATCAAGATATTCACTATCCTGATATCACTTTTTCCATTATCCAAGCACAAGGCCGAACAGCATGTAAAATATGCACAAGAAAAAGTATTAATACAGATCTCTTACTTTCTGAAGAACAACAATCAATTTTGTCCAAAAACAGGCATAGTACAGCACACAAATTGTTTGGTCTTATAAGTTCTAATGTTGGGGAGAAACCCCTAGAAATCTAAATTCTTTGATGAAAACCCAGCTCTGAAGTACCAGAATGAATGCACCAGAAATATGCCAGTTAAAATTAATGGCTTCCCAAAATATTTGTTTTGCCTCATCTCCCAAGTAAATGCATATGTTAAACTATTAATCTTTGTGATTAACTTCACTCAGTTAGGTCAGAATGGGAGGGTCAACTCATTTGAGTAAATTCACTCAATTGTTTGCAGGATTGTGTTTTTCAATTCCTCCTATAATGCTTTTAGAGTATAGATATACATATAATTTAAAATAAAACACTTCTCTTTAATGGTAAGCTGTATCACACAGCTAACAACTCCTCACATTTTCCTGCATATGTTTGCTGAAAATATGGACAGTCCAAATCATTAAAAACCAGGGAGAGAAGAAACAGCAAACATTACAATAGTGCATTCAAGAAAGCATAGCTGCACTTTACAGCTTAGCACCAACAGCCCAAGAAGTTTCAGTGGGCCCACCTGGGATTGCAGTGCCCTTCTAGTGCAGTGCCAAGGCTCTCTAAAAATTCATGATCCCCTAAAAAGGAAGTCACACCTTGAAGCCTTTCTCCTGACTTCTACATGGCTGGGACTAGAGACTGTCAGAGAGGCGAAGTCCCAGCAGCAGAAAAGCTCACAGCAGCAAAGTGAACACAGCATTGGTATCTAAAGCAGTGCTGCAGGAGCATCATGCAGTGTGCTAACACAGGGGCTGGAGTTACAAAAGGGAAAGGCACCTAAACACTACTTTCTTACTGAGGAGAGCTTGGTGGAGCTCATGGCAGTCTAATAGGGAAAGATCAGCCCCTGACTGCCTTTCAAAAGTGAGAGAGATGCTCTAAGAATGCTGAAGAAACAGGAGCATAAAAATCAGTCCACAGGTGTGTGGTTTACTCAGTTCAGGAGTCTTCTTCCCACATGTTCAACTGCACATTTCATTACAGAAGTGGAGGTCAAGCTGTGAATATGCAGGGCATGTCAAACTCATACAGGCAGCTGGGATTCCCCATTTTCTTCTCAAATAAAAGCTCCTACTCAAGAGATTTGTGCAGCCTTGCTAAAACACAGAAGAAAGCTTAACTTTTTCTTAGTGACAGCCAAATCAAGAGGAATTATTTCAACAGCTGAGATAGCCTCCTGGCAGCAACATCATGTGACAGGCCCAAAAACAACTTCAAAGCTGCCAACCCAACTGCCCCTCTTTTGTCCTGCCAAGAATGAGGCGCTGGCTTTGGGAGGCTTTGTGCTTGTCATAATCTGACTTCTGAGATCATATCCAAAGAGGGAGCAAGAAGAAATGTAAGAAACAACAAGGAGCGAATATCTTCCACATTATGTACCTCCTTTGCAGTTCTTAAAAGCACTGAGTATATTTTTAATTTACTGCAACACAAAGGTATCTTTTTTTTTGTATGTGCTCTTGCCCTTAATTTCTGTTCACTCATTCTTTTCACTTTCCTATCTCTATTGTGAGCCTGACAGGCAATTCAATGAGCACCACAGTTTTTTGTTGGTCATAAAATTACTTTACATATAATGGAAACTAACCTTATAAGGAGTAAAGATTTTGTTTCCTTTTTTTTTTTTCCTGGGTTTGCTGGGTTTGCTGTGATAGGTTAAGGGTAGAAGCATTTTTTTAAACTTTCTGAGAAAAAACTCAAAACAAAAAACCAAGCCAAAATATAACTCTGTAATATGACCTCAGACATGGAAGAAAGAATTTGCTCACTCAAAAATTTTTATTCTGAGAGTTATAATGTGTCTATATCCTAAAATAAGTCTTTGAGTTACTTGTGGGTTTGAGAGGAGAAACTCAGACCTGCCATGCTACCTGAGCATCAGCAGAATTGTATGTCACCTTGTCCAAGACTCACAGGTCTGAGTTGACCTTCTGCTTCTCAAGACCATAACAGAATCCCTGAATCTTTCTCTCTGGAAGAACCTGGATGTCCTCAGACATTTTCCTTGGTGCCTTTGTGAAAAATTGCTCAATCTCCCTGCCTTATTTTCTCTGAGGATAAAAAGGACTTTTGGGTGCAATGTGCTGGAGAAAGTATATTTTATTAGATAAGGAATGACACAGAAAAGCCAATGAAACCGAGGTTCTGCTTCTGGTTTAGCTGTAGGTTTCCACGTGACCTTGGGCATCAGATTGCTACCTGTAATATTTGTATTGAACTTACTTAGCTGCAACATATTAAAAATTTTTTTAAGAAAAAAAATATAGAAGCAAAAAATATGAACTTGATTTTTCAATATGAAAGGGATACTGGGTTATTGTTTGGTATATTGTGCATTTTATGACACGAAGGATGGTAACTGACATGGCATTTACCATAGGCTTAGTCTCATTTACATACTTACCTGATGAGGGAGCCCTAGGCTTACTTTTTCAAACATCAGCCCACCATATTTTTTTAACAAAATATGCCATTACACTGAGGTGTTTTTCCCATGCCCACATTAGAATGAAAAATGGATTTGTGTCTTTTAGTAAACCTGTTCTATCATCTCCTGCTTGGCACATCCAGTAGAGCTCACCCCTGCTAACATCCCTCCTCAAGACTTTCAGCACAGTTGGTTCCAGACAATCAGTGAATCGTATCATGAAGGGCAAGTGTCATTTGCAAATTCAAGAGTAAACAGAAGTGAGATTGGCTTAACATCTTCTAATTTTGGCAGCACAGAGTCTTCTCTCTACTTGCTGCCTTGATTGGACCCCTATCAGTAGAATTAACCCATATTTTATTCACTGCTCATTCACTAGCTACTCCAGGCAGCTACTGTCACAAAGGCACTATTAATAAGCTCTCTTCCATGAATGCTTCAGACACTGGTCTCAAGCCTGCTTTAAGCATTTACCCCCATCTCATGTGTTTTAAGAGGAGTTAACAAGAACCACGACGTGGTGTGGAGCAGGCAGCAAAGCACACAGAAGAGGACTGCCCATATTATGAATTCTCATGCTACTGTGCCATTCCCCAGCACTGGGAAATGGCAGAGAGGGCAGATTATTTGCCAACGACACAAATCAGATGTAATGAAGAGAAAATTAAAATTTTTTACTAGCTTAATTGGGTTTTTTTCTTTCTTGATTTTTCTCCCAAGCTGCAATTCACTGCTGAATATGGAGTAACTGTACCTGTCTTCAGATATAGTATTTTATTGGAAACACTAAAAAAAAAAATCTCAGTATTGACAATGAAATGCCAGATCCATTTTCCTGCCAGCCTGCTTTACGTATGGTCTTCCATGTAAGTTGAGACATTCAATGATTGATTAAAAATTTAGGTTTGTATCTGGTATTTTCATACTGGCAGGATGAGTTTGAAAACAAGAAATGTTTCCCAATGGCAGTCTCATGTGTTTATAACAGCAAAGGGCATATCCTGAATCTTTTATCCCTAAAAACATACTATTTGAGTCCAGTTTTATCAGTTGGATTAAAAACTTTATTCATCTTCTTTCAAAGGTGAATACATGGTTTCTCTGTACAGATGCCATTTTATTGACTTGGATTCAAGCCACTCTATCAATCCATTGATGGGCAAAACAGTGAGAAATTACTTACTGAGACAGAGCTTGTGACTGACTCCCAGTTGGTTTCTGAGGCTGCATGCTGGAAATCATCCTAAGGGGAGAAACACACAGGAAAAATCACCATTAAGGCAATATCCTAAATTAATTACAAAATCTAAAAAATTTTTCAGCATTCAACATCTGTCATTTTTTCTAACCCTTTTTAATGCAAAAGTCCCTTGCTATGTGTCACTCCTCAATAAAGCTGCTTCCATTCAGGTTCCTCCCTTTTTAATGTTTATAAAATCCTCGTGAGCTTGCTTGGACAAGAATGGATGAATATTATTATTGTTATTGTTGTTATTATTATTATCATCATAATCAACCACAATAACAGTAATAATAATAATACCAACCTGATCTATGCTGCTTTGCATAGCAAGACCTAATCTGGTCAAGGACATTATATTCATCTGCCAACATAAATATTAAACAACATCTCTGTATGTCTACAACCAGAGTATTAATGCAGTAGCCAAACTGATCTGTTGGAAAGAGTGTGAACATGCTACTTCCCTGGTACTACTTAGTCCAGGTGAAATTCAGGATATTCTAACCCATCTCGAAAGTAGTCCTAACATGACTGTATACCGCTTTTGGTACTTGTGCTGAACAGCACATGATCATCACTGCACTATGTATTGTTACATCAAAAGAAACAGCCACGGTACATTTCCATTAACGGTGTCATTGCACAGAATCTTTGGCATTTATGATTAATCTGAGCACAGGGATGGGATTCATTACATCTATCTTAGGACAACTATGAAGCTAACATCTAAGCAAGTCTTGTTTCCATTTCCAATCAACTAAACCTGGCATTTCTGGGGTGCAAATCATCTGATCTGGGTTAGAAGCTTTACTTGGGATGACAGTGCACCCTGAAAATGGATTTTTGTCTCCATTGTCTCTATAAAGGGAACCTGGGAGGCTGATCTTAGAAACAGATGTCAAAACTGTAGATATTGACATGTGGTCACCTAAATCCCAATCCATTTGTCTGACCAGTGATGGGCAATCACTACTAAATAATGAAGAAGCCATTTCTTTAATCTTTTGGCAGCTTTATTCATTTCCAATTGGATAACTAAACTGTGAAAAATGAAAAAAAAAAAAGGCAGCATTACAGAATGGTTATTAAACACACACATGCAGTGAATAGCTAATGATCAGCATGAATATGCAGGTAAGGAAAGTGGACTGAAGTGACAGTATACCAAGATTTTAATTTCTGATAATAGAATATATAATGAAAAGGTATAAGGAACCTGGATTAATGCCTGTCCTCACGATTTCATACTGAGTCAGTATCTGATAAGCTTTTTTTTAAGCTGGCAACTGAAAGGGGAAATGGAAAGGAAACTGCACAGCTGATACTTGCTAGACTTGATCCTGTATTGCACCATACATATATATATGTTTGCATATATTAAATTATTTCTTAGGAATGGAAAACCAAAAACTGATCTCATAATTTGCTAATTCGCCAATAAAATGCTCCTTTACCCAAGAAGGAAGAGAGCTGCTTTCAGATCCAGAATCAATATACTTGGTTTTTTAATGTTTTCCATTTGCTATAGAAAAATATTTAATGCCTCAGAAGTTACAGGATTGTTTATTCAAAAATGTTACTGTTTCTTCTTCTTCAGTATTTAAGATTAAAAGAAATTAAGAAATCCCAACACTAAGTGACCACTGAAGCTGCAGAGCAATAAAAACATTTGTAACTATGTGGTCATTTTCTGCTAAGAATACAGAAGAAAAACTGGTGAAATTTTCAATGCAGATTTTTTTCTTAAAAATAGTAAAGAGATCTGAAAGTTATAATCAGGTCATACACCATTCTGAATATGCCTCCCTTGGCCACATTCTCTACACATTTGGTTGCCCAGTTTTTGACAAGTAGCAATTTAAATTAAATAAAAATATATTTGAAAAGCTTATGAACCCTCTGGTAAAGTCTGCCAGTTGCAGAACTTGGAAATAATTTCCTCTCTGTCATTAGCTTCCATTTAGCACTTCCAGGAAAAAAAGTGGCATTGAGTTCTAAAGCATTATTTTAAAACAGAAACAATTTGCTTCACTGAATGTTTTGAGAAGACTGCAGTCTTATGTTCAAAGGGATGGGCCACTTTTTTATCTAAATGAGGATATAAAAACTGTTTCTTTAGTCTGTGATTCTTTGAGTTGGTTCATGCCAGGAAACCCCTCCAAAATCCTGATATAGACACGTGTACCACCTGCTTCTTGGATCTCAAACCTGATGACTGCACATTTCAACTCTGATTATATTCAATCTGCATAAACTATTCACAACTCTATGGCTTTGTTCCACCACCACTCAAGGCAGCTGCAGTCATTCTTGGCTTTGCGGTGCTTTCAACCTCTACAGTTTGGAGATTATTATTATCTATGGCTTCTGCTCGCAGCTATTTCAAATAATAATATCAAAGTGGTTCTCATCATTACAAAACCCTCTCCTCCTTCTCACCATCGCCCCTAGCAGAAGCTGAAGGACAAATCTATTTTCAGTGCTATCTGTTCAATTCATTCTACCTCGTTCATGTGAATTTGCCTGTGACTGCTTTGGCTGTTGTTTTGCTGTTGCTTCTTCATTACTTGAAACAACATTAAAACTTTTAGTTCAAACATTAAAAAAACCACCAAAATTCTCATCTGTTTTCTTACTGAATCAGGAACAACAGGGTGGTAATAATTTGGCTACATCACCTTGACAACAGTGCTTCTATTTTTGTATTTGTGTCTTGGTAACATAAAAACTTTACTAGAGACTTCAGCGAAGCATTGAATTAACTGTTCTACAAGCAGCAAAAATACAGGCAGAACAACAGAACTACCAATCACCTTCTGATAGCAGCTACACTCAATGAAGGAAAATTACTTCCAAACATTAACTTCCAAAATTACACCTCAGCAAGACAAATTCTGAGTCTGTCCCCAGAGTTAAATATGTATGGACATTGATGTATTGTTCCTGGCTCTGTTTTGGACAAAGAAAAGCTACTCTCTTCTTTGCAGATGGACTTTATAGCCTGTCTCTCACCACTGATGGCCACTAAGTGACAAGGAGTCACAGGGAATAATCCCTGTTCCACCCAGGTCTTTGCAAGTGGAGATCATGATTCAAAATCAAAGCCGTCAATGATATAAGGGACTGCAGAGCCAGATAGCACGGGTTCCTGAGGAAGATGATTGGCAGCCATGACCTGCAGCAGCACAGGCTCTGCTGTGCTGAAGCCATGGGGCTTGGTAGGGACATTAGGAACTGAGAGACATCAGGAAAATACCCGGGATGTGGCTGGGAAGCTTTCCAGTTTGAGAAGCATATTGTCATGACTCACTTTGTTGTACCACCCATGTAGCAAAACTTCCGAGTCCTCCCAGCTATGCTGAGTTACTGCCTGGTCCTCAAATTAAAAGCAAGAAGTACTGTGATTCTTCGCCTTTTTCACTGTAGATTAGTCTTTTGTCATCTTGGTGCATGACTACTGTGAGGAAGGATGCCTGGGATTGGCAATAACAACCACAGGATGAGCACAACACACAGACTGCTCTCTCCAGCGCAAAGAAGCAGCTTCACATCTCTATAAGCTTCTCTATTTTTTCCTAATCTGCAGTTTTCCGGGGTGACTGGACTAGTTTTGGTAAAAAAAAATGTTCACCTGACAAAACAACTACAAACTATTGCTCATGAAAGCTGAGGTGATGCTCTCCACTTCAGGGAGTGGGAAAGGTTCTCAAAGGAGTTGTGATTAAGAATTAGATTACAGGCAGCACCCTGACTGATGATTTGGGCTCACTGGTTCAGTAAGGTCCTCTCCTAAAGGAGCCACCTTCTCTACTGTGCCCTTCTACTCAGAAGACAAGTGAGGGAGAAAGGGTCAAAATGCAGGCATGGTCTTGGGGAAACAAGCATGAGAAAGAGGAAGAATGAAGTAAACTAAGAAAAAGTTAAGACAGAGAAGCTGAAGTGTTGAGCTCTGCCTGTGGTCATCCAATTTGTGGTATTTAGACACCATAATTATAAATGATCCAAAAGAAAAGCAGTTTCTAGAAATTTACAGAAGAACGGGGCTAATGGATGTACTGAGACACACAGATGATCCTGCAGAAACAAATCATGGGTGAAACGGAGCATGTTCAAAGAGGTCCAGCACAGAAACAAAAGGAAGTTGTGAGCTCTCCCCGAAATGAAATTAGGGATGAAGGACAATGGAAGGTCTGTAAGGAAAAATTAGAGTAAATTGCAACTTGATGAAAAAAAGAGACAAAATTATCCTAACATTTAGGTTAATAAACAGAAACTCAATGATACTCGTTGAAAAACAGTCAACATGTATCTATTGCATTCAGAGTTATGTTCAGACAGGTAGCTGATAAGCAGTAAGCAGATAAACTTGTATTTGTATATAGTAACAACAAAATATAATAATCTGGAAATTCTTTTTTTTCCTACCACAAGCAATAATACTTATATTCTCACTAACAATTATATTTACAGATATTACATTTCTTATACAAAGAGACGCATATTTCAAGCAAATAAACTCCAAACTCAGAACATGCTGTATAACAGAAATGGTATAAGTTAGAGGTAAAAGAAAAATCATAGTTCCATTCAAAAAAATGCTGTGATACACATTCATGTTTGTACACTTCAACTGATTAAATTCAATTTATCATGCAGCATTTTAGGACACTCCAATTTCTATAAATATAAGCATATAGATTTACACTTTGAAATATCTTTTTTGTGTATCATACTTTCATTTTGTCACATTGCTGGGTTTTAATTTAGTATCAGAATGATATTTATTAACACCTCCTAAGGATGCTGAAAGATACCTAAAGCAGGCTACTAGGAAGCCAGAGGCTGCATTTTTCTTACAGTAATGGTCAAACTGCTGCTGCTCAGTGTTCAGCTCTGGTGACCAGACATTAATAAAAATAAAAGTTACTGAATTTGGAGAGCGAGCAACAATGATGTCTCATAATCTGGGAATCATGCCTTGCAATGAAACATTAAGTGCA